ATAGTTCTATCGACAATTTACAGATCTTCATTTTGTACAATATATATTTAATCTCTAGGTAAAAGAGAGAATGAGAGCGCGAAAAGAGTATCTATTAAAAATAATAAAATTCGTGTTATGGTTGGCGGTAAGGACGGACATTCCGTTATATATATTATACGACCATATATTGTACGTTACATCATAACGCGCTTTAACAGTTTGAAAAGGAAAAAAAAACTTGTCAAATAAAACCCTTTTACTTGATGTATTTATCAAACATAAATACAATGACGTCTATAACATATTGCAATAAAAAGAACCAAAACCACTCATGAGACTAGTTCTTTTAATTCCTGTACAGGTATACTGGAAAAAAAGAAATGGAAATGGGAACAGTATAATAGATGAAAAACTATATAGTTACATAATATATAAAAGTATATTTCAATTTACAGATTTACTTTTTGCATGTTACTAGAAAATTAATATTATAAAAATAAAATATTAATATTAAATAAAAGCATTAAAAATTTTAAATGTAAAAAATTCAAGACAGAGGAAGAGAGAAAGAAAGAGGAAGAAATATTTTTCGCCAAAAATAATTCAATAAAAACAAAAAATTATGGAAATCTTATTATTACATTACAGCTTTAATTGTTTGAAAAGGAAAAATAGAAAATTTATGAAATAAAATCTTACTTATGGCGAATTTGGCACACATAAGGTGTGTTTGCGTTGCTTTCCATGAAATAAAGAACTCTGATTGGTTCAATTTCTTATGCCTCATGTGTTAGGGTGCTGTCCCATGACAGTCGGATTTCGGAAAACGGAATCTGGGAAAAGTACTAGACCGGAAAATACTAGACTAGAATCAGAAGACACGGCAGTGTCTTGGTAAGTTAGCAGCAATGATATACGCGTTGTGTTCGTTATAATTCGTTACGGTTAAAAATTAATAATTGTTAATAAAATAATTATTAATAAATAATTTTTCGATAAATATTGATTAATATATAAGTATTTATTATTTCCATTATATACATGATTATTGTTGGGGATAATTTAATTCCAAGTTAATTTCAATCCCATAATTTTTGTAAGTTTTATTAATTGTAACAGCGAGCGAATTTCTTTTTCTTTTTGTTCAAATTTTTTGAATAAAGAATGAATTAATA